ATATATATATATATATATATATATATATATATATATATATATATATATATATATATATATATATATATATATAAGAATTAAACGATTATAAAGACATAGTACTTGAAGAACGGAAAAAATTTCAAAATTTCGAACGAAACCTGAAACCAGCCATGTCGAACAACACATCGTAAACCTATTTCTTCAAGTTTACTCAAGACATTTCTAGTTTTATGACAGCGAGCTACATCAAAACTCAAATACGCGATCCGTTCAGCTTTTGGTAGAAACATATTCAAATACTTGACAGCCTAAAATCATTTTTTTTTCAAAATTACATTTTACCGAGCAGAAATTTGTTAAAGTAGAATTTCAAACTATAAATTCGCATAAGAAAATAAAACCTTAAGGAACTGGTCATGCAATAGCGCCTCATGCCTTCTATTTTCACGCCTTTTCACCAAATTCATCACTATCAACGGGTTACCGTATTTGTTGCGCAGTTCACTAAAAAAATCAAAATAATTTTAATGATTGGCTTGACTGTTAAGCATACATGTTCGGCTCTTTCTATTGGAATCGAAAAAAAAATCATAAAGATCTAAAATCGTTCGATAATTCCACTGCAATATCAATATCCACTCTGTAGTGTTGTCCACAAGTGATATCTATTATTGTTCTATGCTGACCAATCCAAAACGAATTACCCTTAACAAACTATTTTATTTGCTTCTTATAGACGTTTTTTAAAAAATATTTTTCATTACCAAGATACAGAAAATGAAAATGTCTGGCTTTCCCACAAATTTTTCCTTGCTTAAATCCACACTAAAATAGAAAAAGGTTTCATTTCATCATAATACTCGCAAAAAGGAATTCTACGAATCCACCTTTCCTTGTTATAAACAATAAATCACACCGGAAATGAGCAGCAGCAGTTTGTGCATGTGGCTCGTTGATGTCAATCGAAATGACCGGTTTGCCAACAACACCACGAGTAGCTGGATGTTGACTCCAGATAAGCGGCACTGATCCACGACGTTGGACGAAAGAACTAAACTTGCCAGTAGTGAAATTAGGAGAAGAACGTGTATCCCAAATGATTTGCTCCGTTTCAACATCATTTGCTACTTGGCCTATAATTTCAACTGTTAAATTGTCCGGAATTCAAAAGCAATATATCATTGGAAATAATTTTAAGAGCTAAATGAAGAGCATTTTTCCTTGAAGTTAGTTTCTAGCCTTCCATCTATGCTTTAGAAATTAAGAAAAGGAAAACAACCTCACCTCTAGCGTTAGCACCTCGTTTTAGATATCTTGTACCAGCGTACTCTACGGAACGACGTCCAATTAAAGTTAATGACAATCGAGAACACGGTAATTCGATTATTTGTTGACCTGTACTTTTAACCGATTAAAAACTTTTAATTAATTTCATTTTTTTGTGAAAAAGGGCCAATACCTAAGGATTAATCTGGAATTCGCAAATCCATAAATTTACAAAGAACTCATGCCTAGCAATAAATCTATATTTATTTACTTTATTTTATTTTCTTGTTCATGTTTACTTTATTTACTTTATTTTATTTTTGTTTTTTTTTGTTCACCTCTAGCGTTAGCACCTCGTTTTAGATATCTTGTACCAGTGTACTCTATGTAGACACCAAAAGACCAATGAACAAACCAACATATCCATGAACAACTTCGATAAACCACTGCTCACTAACAGCGCTTTTGCGTAATGGTTCCAAAAGATAGCCATTCCAGATAAATTTCGAATCAGGGAAGAATTGACAAGTTTCATTCCTGTCATCTTGTTTGTACTTGGGCCAGCCGGATATTTGCAAGACATTTTCTTGCAGCGTTCGGCTCAAGTCATATACATAAGAGAAGTAGAAATCTGTTGACAAATCCACAGACTACAGAAAGACTGTTTTTACGCTTAAGGTACTGAAGGTTGAACTTGAAAGTGTTAAGAAGACCAAAAGTATTTTTTGAACTGAATTTATTATATTTGGATTTTATTATAATCTTAGCTAAGCATATATACCTAAGGATACCCTCAACTTTTTGTCGACAGGATGTTTACGCGATTGTTTGTGGAGATCAGAGTCGCTCAATCACTTTACAAAATAACAAATTAAAATGGATAACAAAATTGACTTGAAATAATTTCAGATAGCGCAATTCATCGGGATTGTTAACTGGGATTCCCTGTGCTGCTAAAGGAATAAGAGCAACTTCCTCAACTTTATATATTTCATGATAGCCTATCGTAGCAACAACTCGAGCCTTCGTTACGATCTGAAAAAATGGCATAGTGAAAACAGCGATGACTGTAATTTTAGACGAATTACTTTACGTAAATAATGCACAGACTTTTTTTAAAATTTTCTTTCCTGAAACTCTTATTTCAAAAAAGATGCGATATTAGCCTTTATTTTGAAAATCAGAAATTTAAAAAGACCGTCGAACAGTAGCAACAGTGATACTGCCTCACCAATAAATAATAGCCTTCAAGAAAGCGCACAGCTCCAAGTAATCCGAAAGCATCAGAGACACGCTCGATCAAACCTTTTCGTCGATCAAAACTCGTTGACTGTTTCTCGTTTTGAGTAAACACAACTGTAATTCTAGTATTTTTGGTAAACAACTGTATCGAATTTGATTATTATCTAAAAAAGAAAAAGCCAGTGATCTTGCAGATACATCCCAGAACAGTGAGCTTTTTGCATTCAAACTGATCGTAGAGTATCAGTGAAGGATTTATTCGCAAATAAACAAAACCGCTGCAAATTATCATATCAACAGTTAGGTTTTAGTTTTGAAATTAAATATTAGATGGAATATTGTTACAAAACTTACTCTGAAAAAAAGAAGAAAAAGAGGGATAACTAACGTATACTACTTCGAGGAATTCATATATTAAAGTAGCTTACAAACTTTTTTCTGTAACTGCAACTATATTGAACCGTTTTTAATCGTTCATCTCATTTTAATTTCCTTATGACAATAGTGATATCAGTTCTTCTAAAAGAGACAAATGACACGATAGGCTGGTACACGATACACTATCAGTTGTTTCAGCATTCTTACAAGCCAATTAAAAACATATGTAGCAATAAAATGCAAATGCCTAGTACTTCCCCTTACTTTCCCCTTCTGAAACAAGTTGGAATTTGTAGGATACTTGTAGAAAAGAAATATCCAAGTCTAAAAAAGAGTAATGATAAAATATTTTACTAAATATAAACAATTCCTGAAAGACTTTGATGAATATTCATATCAGAACAATCACTTACCAGAGCTTCCTTCCGAAACAGTCGCTAATAATTCCATGATATCACTCTTCGAATAATTCTGCTCCGCTTCACCTATGTCCAATGTTTGCATTCCCAAACGACCAATTTTCAGCAGCCGATAACGAATCTTCGATACATCAGAACCAACAATATAAAAATTGGTTGGTGTTTCGAAAACACTCAAATGCCATAATCTTACCATCCTACGATACAACTTATTTGGCTGAAAGAAAAACAAAAGATTTTCAGAATTTCTTCACAAATTACGAAATGTATACTGTCAAGCAAATCAATTTTCCATAAGAGTTTTTGATCTATTCTTTCAACTATTTGCATTACCTACAATTTTTGCGAAATCCATCTCAAACATAAAAATACGGAATAAAAAAAAGAGATCCATCTCAAACATAATCCGACATTTCCCATGAGTTTTGCTTCCTAAGTGTCAACAAACTGCCAAACAGTGCAACTAAAAAATAATCACAAACGGTCTCAGATTAAATCCAAAATTAAAGTGTTGAATTATAAATTGCACATTCTTTTTCCAAATTTCGAGATTTATAACAATGAAAATCCACTCCACATAAAACCTAACAAATGTTTTACCACTTCCTTCTAGCTAAAATCTGAAAATGCAGACTTTTACGTTGACCACACACCGATTCTTATATCAATTTCAGGTGGAAGTGATAAATTACAATTTAAAAGTGCTAAGCAGCACAAGAAATGGAACTCTGAGAGAGTAAGCTGAAAATCTAACCATATCCATCTACTATTATTAATACATAATTACAATGGAATTTTCAAAGAATAAACTGAGATAACTGCAAACTGGAAACTTTGAAATGTCAAACGCAATTTAAATGCTTTCCCATTGAGCTACGGATAAACTATATTTGTAAAAAGTTTTCTAATAACAGTTTCTACCTTATCTTCGAAAATAAACTTATTAACCGAGATAAAATGAATTTCATAAGCAGAAAAGATTATCTTGAAATAGTTATTCACTGTTTGTATCACGTAATTCTCATGTATCATAATATCTCAACATCTCTGAATCGTTATTCAAATACCAGTAAACCAGATTTAATTCTTTCATAACAGGCCATTTCGTTCAAAAGGTCGTAATTTCCGATTTTGACTAAATACATTATGAGTTAATCGGAGTTCTAGAAAACCAAATAAATCCCTTTATCTATCCGACGGCATATTCGTTTGTCATCATAAATTTATGATGCAGCACGAAATCATTTTAACCGCAAAAGCTTTGTTCCCAGTTATATATTTCAACAGTTCAAAGTCAAAGAAAGAATAGGGAAACAAAAATATATAATATATACCTCCGCAAACACAGAAATAAAAAAGTCACATACTTCCAAATCATAAAGTTCATGGCCAACACAGCTTAATTCAATGTTTTCATTGAATTTATTGCCCAAAATTCTGCAAAATACATTAAGCAGTTTCCAAATTTCTACAGTTCAAAGTCAAAAATTAAAGAAAGCTGAGAAGGATTTCAGCCTAGACAGATTTAGAGACCTATTACCAGAAATGACAGGAAAACTTCATTTGTAAAGACATTTAAATAATTAACAACAAATTATACAAGTTTATGAACAATATGAATTGATTAAAAAGCATTGTCTTCGTCTAAGTTATCATCCGAGCCAACGTCACCATAATTTTCACCATTATCGAAATAAGAATGAATATAATCATTATCTTCTTCTTGATAATCATCATCCGATAACGCTTCCTATAATACCGTGAAATTACTAGAAGGAGAAATTGTGAGAAACCCTGAACAAAAGACTGACTTTGACCCATAATACTTTTAAAAGAGCTGACACTTCTGAAACCCAAAAAAGTCATAGCGAAACATAGCTGAGTCAATATCATTAACCTGTTCTTCATTTCCGTTGTTTTGTTCCTCCTTTTCGCTTTCTTCATCGTTCTCATCAATAGTTTCCTGGGTTTCAATTTCAGGACTATCTAATTTCTCGCTCTCCTCAAGTCTCGATAGTTTTTCAACGACTTCATCCGCTCCTTTATCAGTTACTCTTCGTTTCTTTTTGGTTGGTTCGCTAACTTTTTTTTTCCAGCACAATTCATCCGGAAGTCGTGACCAATCTGAAGAGCTAAATTTTGATTCAAAGACTTTTATATTTTCATCCTTATTCTTTTCCATGGGCTCCAAAGAGGAATCACAAAAAACAAAAACTAAAGAATAGCCCCACGAACCCAATTAATTTAAAGGAAAGAGCAAAAGAAGAAATATTTTGTCCTTAAATTCGTGAAATTTTTATCGTCCCTAAAGAAAGAAAACCTAAAGATTGCAAACATCAAAATTAAGACTTTAAGAATATAGGGAAGTACAGAGATGTCCGAAAGTAATAATGACCTGGTCGTAGTTCTTCCTTTTCAGTTTCTCTATACTTATCTGTATATCGTCTAAATTCAGAATTTCGCTTTTTTACTTCGAAATGAAAAGATGATTCGTGAAACCGAGTAAGCAATTCCTGTCGCAGCTCAGCCATGTATTGTAGTTCATCTGTTTTTTCGAGTGGCAAAACCATCTGCGAAACCGACTGCAAATCCACTGTGATGTGAATTTCCCACTGTATTTCAAAATAAAATGTAAATTTCCAAGTGATGTGGAATACGAAGGCAAGAATTGGGAGTAGCTATTTGCACAGGTGCTTCATCGACATTCCGGGAGAAAATATCGTGTTCAGTTTTTTTAGAAGCTAATTTCGGACGAATTGGAAAATTTGTTTAAAACTTGCCGGATAAGTAGGTTGTGACTCCAACACCACTTTTGTATATGTACTCATTTCATGTCGGGCAATACCCAATGCATTTGCAACCGCCCGTAATCCACAGGAAGCTCCACCTCGACTACCTGCACGACTGCCCCGCGACATTCTTTAAACCGATGACACAATGAAGTTGATGGCAAAAACCAGTTGCAAAATGGAATCCAACTATTCAATGAACACAGAACGGTCCTCGCACATACTACGTACTAATAAAACTATCGAATTAAGAATTTCCCAGCAATCCAATCTATCCTATTAGTAAAAGGTTCCTATACCATTTGAAAGTACACATTGCTCGAACAGCAAAAAAAATAAAAAGTAACTCCAGCTAAAACTTTATCATAATTATCAAAGTTTGCATAGAGGGCAAAAAAAAACACTCAAACGCAACATTGGAAAATGACGGAACCGATTGCTTATATATGCTTCCTATCAATGAGGAACATATATTAGCATGAAAACAATGCTGGAATTGGCAATACTGTAACCAAATTTTGTAAACTGTGAATTGAATACGTGATCAACCCGTCAAATTTATTGTCCCACCTAAGACAACATTTTGTAATCAAAAAAGTTTTTAAAAACCTTGTAGAATTACAAGCGTAGACATCACAAAACAAATTAAGATGCTTAACGACGAAAAAAACAACGACCACCAGTTCTATAAAATCTGTTGGAACTCAAAGGAAGAAACCAAATACATAAATAATTCCGTAATAATGCAAATCTCACTGGCAGTGTTCCCCAAAATGGACAAATCAATTTTAAAAAAATGAAGTTTTGACCTCAATAATCGAAATGAATATATAAAACGACGAAACGATAATTCCAAAACTGTACTAAGATCCTAAAAGGTGGTTTCATTTTTTAAATTCTACCGTTCTTTATTCGCTTTGTCCGTGCCATCTGTTGCTTTCTCCTAAAACATATAAAATTAAAATTTATCGTGTTGAAAAAAAGATTGTTTTATTACTAGTTATTAATGATGGTACAAACCAGCTGGTTAGTAAAAATGAGATTATGGAAAATTCAAATGGAAATTCAAAAATTAATTCTATCACTCATGTTATTAAACCGTAAACTGTCTGCAGCTAACGCATTCGCCCCATTTGACTTACAGTAAACAATTTCGCGGGATGATCTCTACAATGCTAATCGGAAAACATCCCATCCAGTTCAGTTATTAAAATAAAAGCAAATTGCTGCTCTTTTGTCTGTATGGAAACATCAACGTTTTCTAATCGTGTTTAACAGTACTTCACTTAATTATTGCCCACTTCACAACACGATGAAGCATACAATTTTTAAAACCAACTAATAAAATTAGCATCAAGTAGTTCCTCTCGTCGAAAACTTGTTGCACAGATGATCAGTGATATGTAAACTGGATTAAAATTCTAATACTTATTTGATGATGTGCCGTTGAGTCGAACTTGAAAGCATTGCAGAATATTTTTGCTCATCACTGATACTGAAAGGTTTTTGCCCATTCACTTCAAAAGATTCCTTTGACGAAATATAATTAACTTACTTTAGTTTCAGAATCCCGCTCCAAACTTTTTGATTTATTCCATGATTCTAAACCCTTCGGTAATGTGATATCCTCGTCCAGACCACCGGTACCCGCAACAAACTCCTCATAAGTTTGCTTTTCGGCAAACGGACGCGGTCCCAGCAACTCAATTAAATCTTCTCTAGATAAAATTTCGTTTTGAAGCAACCTTTCTGCTACCTAAAATGAAAAGGAGAAAAAATTTCCACAGACACACAAAATACCCTATTCATGTAATAAAGCATCCTGGAAAACAATTATAATTAACGAAGCTAAGAATTTCAAAAATATAAATAAAATTAAAAACTCTAAGCATTCAAGAGGATAAGAAATACGAACGAGCTATTTATCTTATGGATATAGCTTCGCTGATGACTTACAGTTTCAATTTGTGATTTTTTAGATTCCAGTAATTCGTACGTTCTTCTATAAGCTGTATCGACAAGATTACGCACCTAAATGAGAAAGTCATTACACATAATATTAATCAAAAAAACGAAGAGGTAGAGCCATAAAAATGGATCCCACGTATACCCATAACCTTCCGCAAATTCCAGTTTTCCCATTCTGTCTGTTTTCATGTCTGCCTTCCCTGAAAGGCTTAGTCATAATTATATGTTTTGACCAAATTTGGAGCCAATTCAATCATTTCTCTTCATTATACACATAGAATTCAATGCAAAGGATAGATTTTCTTCTAACTTCCTGGTCAATGAGCTCCGCAGTGGTTTCGGAATATGGTTTTTGAAAATTTGAACCTTCTGTAAATGATAATGGACCAATTTTCTTGCTCATACCGAACTTTACAATCTGTAATTGAGTTAATTAGTGATATGGAAACATAGAATCGATATTCGTACGGCCCATCAAAAGATGAGATTTTGAATTCGGTACAAATGAAGAGCTTTCATTACTTTCCTCAAAATTATTTCAGAATCAGAAAAGTTTCCAATTATTTCGAAACCTGGGAATACGCCATTTCAGTGATCTTTTGCAGATCATCTTGTGCACCTGTTGTAACACGTCCGAAAAAGATTTCTTCAGAAACACGTCCCCCTAACATCATGCACATTCGATCCAAAAGTTGTTCAGTGGAATAAAGATATTGTTCCTTCGGTAGATACTGTGCATACCCTAATCCCTTACCACGCGGTATTATTGAGACCTGAAAATGCTTACTTCGTCCAAGTCATAATTTTTGAAACAGTGTAGTATACAACATGAAATTATGCGTAAAACATACTTTTAGCAGTGGATCGGCATGCTTTAAGAACCAACCAGTGATCGCATGTCCTGCTTCATGAAACGCAACTACCTTTTTTTCTTCCGGCTGTAAAACCTGACTTTTCTTCTCCATGCCGGCAACAACTCTTTCGATGGCCTAAAATTTATTGACCCACATACTAAGTTAAATAAAGAGTTAAATGAAGAACAGAGCAAAGAAAAAGAGTTGGAAATGAGAAATCTTTAAATATTTATTTAATAAAATGAAATAAAAAATATTTTTCATTAGTATAAATTCAGGAAGATGAGCAAAATAAACCTACGAGATACAAAATTTATTTTTATACTGTCCAAAAAAACATAGAACATAAAAAACCGATAATTTCGTTGTATATGCTTACCTGTTCGAAATTTTTCAGAATGATTTCATTTGCTGCATCACGTGCTGCTACTAACGCTGCTTCATTACAGACATTTGCAACATCGGCTCCTAAAAATGATTTTTTAGTTAAAATAACTAACAGTTATTTGTATTGAATTCGATATGATCATGATGCAGATATGTGGTAAACCTGAAAATCCGGGAGTTAAAGCAGCTAACTTCCTTGAAAGCTCCACTTTATCCAAATTTGTCTTCAATTTCGCCAAGTGAACACGAAATATGGAAGCCCTAAACAAATAAAACTTTTATTTTTACATAACTCTTCACTATTGCCTTCCTTTGTTTTTGATCTGTCTCTTCCTTTTCTTATAGTGAATTTCCGAATTTGTAATTTCTACGAAGAGCTTTTTCAAGCTGATATTCACAAAGTTTTACCTTCCTTTGATATCAGGTACAGGGATGTAGATCTGTCGATCAAATCGACCAGGCCTAAGTAAAGCTGCATCCAAAATATCAGGACGATTTGTAGCTGCGATAACAATAACCGATGACTCTTCAGTAGAGAAACCTTTAAATTTTTCGAAATTAATATTCCCATATAGAGTCATTTTGTAGACGATATCATTTGAAACTAGTTACCATCCATTTCAACAAGCAGTTGATTGAGAGTATTTTCCTGTTCTGAATGCCCGCCAAATCGGCCTTCACCTCGCTTCCTTCCAACAGCATCTATTTCATCTGCAAATAAACTCTTCAAATTAGCTTTGTAAGAAACCTTTTAATTTTAATGACCACAATGCTTGTATCTTTGAAACAATAAGCTGAAAAGCAAAACTGTTCCTCAAAGGACTTCTTTATTGCTATAAGTTTGAATTCAATCATTAAACATTTAGTAAAAAGAATCAAGTAGTAAAAAGGAAACACTGAATTTTAATTTGTATGATCACTAGAGAAAAGGATATTGTCATTAATAACAATTCGACAGTACATATATATATACAATTATATATACAGTACACATGTAATTCCATTTTATCATAAAATTTACAAATGCTAGTTGCCTTGTATTTTATTACAAAGTAATATTCTGAATGTGCATCCAATACACAAGCTTTGATTAATACTACCTTATTTCAGCTATTATTAAATCAACGAATCACCATTAAAAGAATAGAAAGATAGTAAAAAACACACCGATAAATAATATGCAGGGTGCATTTTTGCGAGCCATAGAGAACATATCTCTAACACGCGCTGGACCAACGCCCACAAACATTTCCAGAAATTCTGAACCACTGACTGTTATGAACGGCACATTTGCTTCACCAGCAGTCGCTTTAGCCAACAGTGTCTTACCAGTGCCTGGTGGACCAGTTAGAATTGCGCCCTGGATGGAAAA